TACAGTTAGGAAGCTAGAACCGTGTTCATCGCAGCTGGCAGGGCCCGGAGGCAGTCCTGACAAGTGCAGAATTGCCCACAGCCACCAGGCCTGTGTTTCCTTTGAGACTCTTCCATTTACGAGTTAATTTAATATCACTTCGCAATTTTAGTTTTGAAAACGTGGTGTCAAAAGAGACTGCTTAAGAATACGGAGCGTGGTGTCCAGCAAGGCCGTCTCGGCCAATACTCCCCCTGCAGAGCACACAGTGACTCCCTGAGGAGGTGAATCTGGGGACGTGAGCTGGGCACCTAGTTAACTCAGGAACCTGCAGCCAGTGGAACACAGTGGAGATGACCCTAATAATGGGCTCATGAAAACAAGAGATGGGTAAGTTTTGAGGAGAATGGGCATTCTCTCTTTTGTGAGGCATCTGCTCCAGTGAGGTAGTTACTAGGTTCTGGAGGGGAAAGGAAAAGGCTTCTAAACAAAGAAGAGCCAGCTCCCTGCACTGGCCAGGCTGACTCAGCGTGACCCGGGGTTCGGGGTTCTCAGCCTCATTTGAGTCCAACCACACATCCCCTGTTTTAGTCAGCTTTTTTACTGCTGGAACTAAAATACCCAACAGAACAATCGTAAAAGAGAAAAAGTTTATTTGAGCGCTCACAGTTTCAGAGGTCACAGTCCACAGAAGTCCGGCTCCACTCCTCTGGGCTCCAGGTGAGGCTGAACATCTCGATGGAGGAGTGTGGCAGAGAAAAGCAGCTCATGGGGTGATCAGAAAACAGACAGAGAGGTCTCCACTTGCCAGATACAAAATATATACCCCATAGCCCCACTACCAGTGAACCACTTCCTCCAGCCACACCCCACCTGCCTCCAGTTACCACTCAGTGAATCCCACCAGGGAGTAATCTGATTGGGTCAAGGCTATAACCCAATCATTTCTCCTCCAAACCTTCTTGCCTTGTCTCACACGTGAGCTTTTAGGGAACACCTCACATCCAAACCATAACATCCCCACCTTGAGTTTTAGGGTTTCCTGCCTTCCTGAATCAATGGCCCTAATATTTCACAAGAAAAATGTGAATGGCAAGGCTGTGAATTCAACAGATGTTGTTACTCTGTCACTGCTACAATCAAACTTGGCCTTTGAACTTAACAGTATCAACTCTGTGGCTACAAGAAGTAAAAGGTTCTTTTAGGGCTGCCACGGTAGTTCAAGATTTGGACCAACAGTTCAAGGATTGGAGTCTTCAGCCTCATCTGTAAGCACTCCACCACGCTCGGCCATACCCACCCTGAACCACCAGTCCTGCCCTGTGCAGCAGCCCGCTGGGCCCCCACAGCACAGCTACAGCTGGCATTTCATCACAATCAACCAAAGGTGATCATTTGATTGTGGGGACAGCGAATGTCAGGGATGATGGCCCTGGGTTGCCCATTAGCAAAAGCTCAGAGCAAAACAACCCCCAAAACAATATTTGAGAGTCTCTTCCTAGCACTACTCCTGATCCCAACTTCGGTGTCAGTCAGGGTCCAGTCAAGAGACAGAAACCACACACTAACTGAAACAATGGAACTGGGATTGTAATGAACTGTTACCTTGGTTTAAAAAAAAAAAAGTGGTTAACTACTAAAAAAATTAAATCGTATGGTGTAAAAAAAAGGGGGGGGCAATCAGAATACGGCTATCACTCCTAGGACTGAGGGGAAGATTAACAAGGAAGACATTGAGAAATGCAGAGAAGACCCACAACAAGCCACGATTCAGGCCTCTGAGAAGATGGTCAGCTGCTGCAGAAATATGCCACCCACCACTGCAGTGAAGACATCTGCTCCAGGCCACTGCCAGGGCCAGCTGTGTGCTGACCCACTCTGTCATGAACACAACAGGAAAAACATAAGTTCTTTCTTCCCTCTCCAGCCTCGAGAATCCCTTCAATACCTTCCATTCCAGCTTGACAGCAGGCAGAAAACACGGCTTGCAGGGCACAGCTCAGTATCCACAGAACAAAAAGAAAGGCAAGTTTGGAGCTAAAAGGAAACAAACTAACAGCCCTGAGTGCAGAGGCGAGGAGTAGAGATGGAAACCCAAACAGCTACAAGACATGCTTTGAAGGCAGAATCACTGGAACTTGGTGTTAAGACTCCTGTGGGGCTTAGGAGAAATCAGGATGATGCTTCTTCTAAAGAGAAAGGGAAAACTGCTATGGATCAAATGAACTTGGGGTGGTTAAGGGTCACATTTTGGACCTATTTCAAATGTTTGGGGCACGTTCAGGTCAAGGTGTCAAATGGGCATTGGCCGGCCATACAGATGGTGAGCTTGTCTGAAGATGAAAATAGGCATCCTCAGCATAGAGATGTACTTTAAAGTCACAGGATGAGATGACATCACCTGTACACAGGGAAGAGAGCCATGAGCCATCTGCAGCTGTGCTCCTGGGGTTCCTGCCAATCCCCACTCTGTTACCTGGCTGTTAGGACTTTGCTTACTGTCTTATCTGGCCATCATTCAGCTTGTGACCCTGTGACCCTGCTGCCTTATTTATATTCCCGGAAAAGAAGCGAATCTAGCAAGAAAATTTATAAAACTGTTTTTTAAAACTTAATCCCACCATCCTAACATGAATTTTTTGAGTTTTATGGGTCCCCTACCACATGCATAAAAATTTTTACCTAATTATAACAGGGATTTTTAGTCTCTACTTTGGGGAGTCAAGAAAATTTGCAGTTGTGGCTGCAGGAAGGTAACCTTCTATGTTTAACAGGTTACAAATATTTATCAATAAAAAACAGCCAAACCTTTGAGGGCCACAATCTAGTAGGAAAGAGAGATATCATATCATAGTGCTATTCTTCAAAAGGTCATGGCCAGTTTCTTCACCTTTTCTTCAATCTGTTCAAAGCAGTAAGGTCAGAAGAGAATGTGAATTATCCAAGCGTCACAGCCTCGGAAGATCCCTGCATCCTCTTCCTTCTTGTCCCTTGGGAGATGGTTCTAAGGATTTCAATGTTCTCTCCAACTCTTGAAGATGCTTGAAAACATTTGTATTTCTCTGGTATCAGAGCTTTCATCTCCCTTCGCCCAGCTCTCCCTTTCCCACATTCTGGTCTCCTGGAAGGTCTCTGCAACTCTCTTCCTTTCCTTCTTTTCCATGCACTTTTCACTGACCCTATACAGAGTGCCTACCGTGAGTTACAGGCCAGAGGTTAAACTGAATTACCCACAAGGACCAAGCAGAACAGTGCTGTTCCAACTTGGTTTACATATCAAACATACAAGAACACTCTACTTTTACCAAGAAACGTGCTGATCTAGTTTTTCTTGAGACAGACGGCTCTTGAGTCATTTTGCAGAATTTTGACACACATAGGGAGGCCAGAACTATTTCCTTTTCCTTCTAATTCTACTGTAACGTCAGTAAGTAGTAGAGGACCTTCATCGTGACAGGGAACACAAAACTCTAAGAAGGCCACTCTCCAGCGCAGTTTGCCAAGTGGACCATGGGCCTGGTGTTGCTAGATCTTCTGACTTTTCAGGAGCCAGAAATCCAGGCATTTTTGTGAAAAATCATGTTGTTAAAATGTTAAAAGCTAATTTAAAGGAATTTTAAATGCTGCAAAGGCTAAAGCAACCAAGTTCACAGAATACAGAAGCATTGCCAGTATGCAGCTTCTGGTGCTATAAATTCTAACAAGTGTTTATTATGTTTGCTTACTTTACAACACAGTTATATAATTATGCCTTTGATAAAGATCAATTATCTGTGTCTGAATTCATTTGTCCATATCTATGGTGTGTTCTGTTTTCTGGCCCATCTCCACAACACGCCATTAACAGTGCCTTAAGGTCAAACTACCCTTCTCTCCCAGTTCTTCATTCTCCAGTACAAAAGGAGTGGAAATGTGGTGCTTTTAAAACCAAAGCTTAGAGACAAATTAGAGAGAGTGCATTAGCTATAAGGGGCCTAGCACATAGTAGGGCAAGTACAAGTTGTTGCATGAATCATTATTATCACCCAAATAACAGCCACCAGTGCTTCACTATGATGCATACCTATATTTATCTGGAGGTTTTCCCAGACCAGACCACAAAATGCAAAGCAACCCTTGATTCACCCTCTAACACATAACCTTATTTTATTTCTCTGCATAGGACTTAAGTCTTTATAGTATAGTCTCATTTACTTACATTCATATTTTCTGACACCTATCATCCCCCCCCCAAAAGAATGAAAGCTGTAAGAGAACAAGCTTATCTATGTCGTGCTTGGCACGTACAAAGGAAATAATGGATCTAAACCTCCCACCTCCCCAGGTGAGAGGTGATTTGTACACAGATCTCAATTAAGTATGTTTTAAATTTTATATTTAGATTTCAAGATAATTGTATTTAATTTTTATAAGTTCATAAAGAACCGCTGGGGGGGGAGGGGGCAAAATTAAAGTTTGGTTCTAATACCTTAGCACTGACATTGGCCCGGCATTTTTGCTGCAATAAAAAAGCCACTTCCTATGACACAGGGTCCCCCAAACGCCTGGGTCTGGCCACATCCTGACAGAGACACGGCTCATCAAGGCTAGGCTGGCCTCAGTCACAGGAAAAGAAGGGTGCAAGTGGGAGGTCGCTCGAACCCCCGGTGGGGAGTCGCCTCCAGAAGGTGTACACCGGGTCGGGGCCCTCCGCGCCGAGGCGCGCAGCTGCAGGAGCCAGCCCAGGAGTCCCCGCCCCGGGGCTCCCCTCCGCGGCGCCCCGCTCCTTTCCCCCTAGTCCCGGGCGCGCTGCAGGGTCAAACCCGCGCAGCCCCAGCCCCGGGGGTTCCACGTTCCCGAGCCCCGCCCGCGCGTGCAG